GTCAGGAGATCTAAAATATTGACACCAATTATTATTACCTAATATTAAATTTTAATTAATTGGTGATCAAACAATTTCCATGGTTGATTTGGGGGATGGCATGGGTGACACAAATCAAGAGCACATATATTTTGTTTATTTTCTGTCCTACCAAACGTATTGCGAGATCGCCCGAGTTGTGGGTAATATTTGTGTTACTGTAAGCCCAGTCAGTTAATTATTGTCAACAGTTTGATTGACAATTAGTTGGAAGTTGAAAGCTTGGTATTCAATCTGATCGTTGTAAAATTAATACTTAATAGGGTACCTGGTATCACATAAATCAACTTGTAGTATTATGGCAAACCGATTTTATATGTAAGCCACATCATTGTCCGCACTGACTCGTATCAGATGGCAATCAGTAATGTGTAGTGGCGTTGGGCCCTAACCACACAATCCCTAAAGCTGGACACTAGACAGCTGTGAAACTAGATATTCAATGTTTAGCGCGAAGAAAAACCCAACGAGGGAGAAGGAGAGAAGAATGACGGAATTGAATTAATTCGAGTTGATCGGATGGCATAACTCGTCCTTGCAGGCGTGGCCCCTGTTAAATGTTACCTTATATCTTCTACTCATATTAAATATATCGTTCTGTCTACAGCCTGAATCTGTTCTCCATCACATATCAGTAATTGTTACGATACGATGAGTCAGTGTAGACACTAATGTGAATTCCACATAATATCTTATAGATTCAGCAGTTACATCATGACAAATCTAACATTTTAGGACTAGGTCTATTATTAGAGCAGTGCTAATATCGAAGTAGATCATAATTCCACAAATGTAATCTGCAACACTTTTGAAGGTCACGTTTGGGCTATGGATAGAATAAGATATTTAATGCGGATAGGAACAAGTTACACAGAATGATCATGCCCGTATGATCGAGCCGTGATATACAGATCGACTGTTCCTGAGTTCACCACAATTTATCTTCTCCAGTGTTACATATTGAATGCGAATCTCAGTAGTTATATGTTCAGGTTCAAAGCTTATGCGAAAACGAACGGAACTGACATGTCCTTGTTAGGCAAATCGATCGAACCGCAATTCATATAGAAGTCAGTTATAGGAAGAAGCTAATGCGACAACTAAGGGTGGTTGACTGAAAGTTGGTTGAAAGAATCTGAGCAACATCAAAACAGTATAGCTAAAATATCCCTATACTTCCTTGTTGAGCACAATGGAAAGTAATTCTGGTCGTTTCTGCACGCGTGTAACATGTCGTCGTGGCATTTTGTAGAATGAATCACGAAACTCGGCTGGATTTGGTTAATCTGTACTGAAGACATGTAGTTTTAAATACCTTTATGAGCTCTCATGCAGTTGACGACAGCAGACAGTGGCAATAAACATTTATCTTTATTGAGCAACCCTACAGCTCGACGATTTTATGCGGTATTAGTAATGGCTGATCATGTTTGCTGTTTAAATCCAAAGCAGGTGACTTGGAATTGAAGTCTTTCAATACTGTTGAAAATCGTTGTCGAAAGTTTCGTAAATAAGTAGCTCTCCACATGAAAAACTGACTATGTTGTGTGGAGTAAGGTATGTATTTCAAAAGCTGTCTCCTTCGCTGAAACAAGTTTGTAAAAACATCTCTCCTTCCTCGGGGTTGGAGAAAAAATTAGCACCCTTAGGTTAAATTGATGACGAATTTCTAGTTCTGGCTTCTCATATGGCTGCTGAAATATATGTCAGCGAAACAAAAACAAACGTTTTGAAAGGCAGATATACATTAGTCGGAACTGGTAGCTGACATCAAAGGAGTGAATAGCATTTGGAAACAACCGGAAAGGATTGTACAGGATGGAGTCACGCAATCACGATGATATTTAGAAGAAATAGTGCTTAAACTGAACATTTTGTTACATAATATGGGTAAATATAAACACCAGAAACAAATAAGCTTATAAATGTAGACACAGCATAACGTGACATTAAATAGCATGAAATAATAGCCGGATGAATTACAAAGGACAGTTTTCAGTACTGAGTGTGTGGTCGCGTAAGTGCACCTGCGAAGAGGAAGTGGTTCATGAATACATGAAATGAATTTATTTAGTTATCAAGGTCCCAGTAATGATAAGTGGTAACTTTCCGTTCAACAGCAAGTTAGCGAGTATCACCTAATGTTTTGGCTATCTAAAATCCACTCAGCATCTACTCATTTGTCCGTCTGTGTCCATGCAAATGAAATCGAGCGACCACTGCCAAAGTTATCAGTTATCAAGGAGCATATTCACTCCTTGCTCTTTGTATTGTGGTTAGAATCGATACTGTAAACTTCTGGACATTGTTCATATAAAGTGATCCGATGGTAAATACCAAAGCAAGTTTTAGTTACAAGTCTGCATTAGGAAAGAAATAAACTCAGTTAATCTTTTTGTCTTTGCAACTGGAATATTTGCAATCGAGCAGCACAGCCTGAAAATATAAGATTAGATGATTACTGGAAGACATATACGCTTCCATTGCCTTCAAATCGGTGACAGAAAATTTATGACCAGTCTGTTCTCTAACTTATTCGACAGCCTGAATTAAGGATGATGATAAGACCAGTAATGGTCTCAGATTTTCTTTGTGCCCTGAGGCCAGTCGCCTCGTTCTAGGATCGAAAATCACTCACGAACTTTCACAAGGATGGTTATATATCATTCGTCATGACTTCATCATGTACTTATTCTGTTATAGAACCACGCGAAGCATTGGCTGGAAATGTAGTAACTTGGGTCTGAGGTGTCGTTTTAGATTTACAGTTCTCGCGGTTTATCAATCATTCCAAAACCATGTAGCCCACATTTACGACCAATCGCACACTTGAAAACAACAAACATGTACTTAAATCAAGTGTCACTTAACGAGCGATTTTTATTTGTATGTAGGGAGTATGAGCATTATAAAGTATATAAGGATCTTTATCTTACGTGTTGGAAGTCATCCAACACTGTCCTGAATTCCGCCTTCCTCATGGATCGTCTGAGCAGCAGGTCAACCGATCTATTTCTCGAAAAAGGCAGGAAAATGGGACCAAATCGGCAGAAAACAAAACAAAAATTTATTATTGGTGGGAAAATTTATCAACCGCGTCGCACAAGTCACTAATCGAAGAATACAACGGCTCCAAACTCACTGACTATTAGTGGGACGATGTGAGAAACAGATTGTGGGACTACAGAATCATGTGTGTTTATTTTCAATCATGTTATACACACTCAGATATAACAGACTGTCCCCAAAATATTTTCCAACCGATGTATTTCGAACAATGTTTCACAGCAGCAAACAACGCTAAAAAAGCAGAAGAGCATAGGTTATGTTGTCAGCGACGACTGGTGGTTTTTAGGCGTAAACATACCACGTGAAAATAATAGCACCCGAGAATCCTGCTAGCATACAAGCACGCAAATGACCTCAGGTACTTCAAACACAGAATGGCCACTGTCATTCAGGGCAGTCAAGGTCATGAGAAAAGAGAAGAGTTAAGCACGAAAGTCAATTACTTCTTTATCACGTCATTATACTTCCCACTATTTTGTACTGAATGCTAATCAATCTCGCATGTTTGAAAAAGACAATCTTGCTCTCAAACTGCTCCGTTCCACAATATAAGTGAAGGCCTATTCGGTTGTTAATCTGGTTTCTTCAACCGATAAAACGAGGGGCATCTACCAGCACGGAAAATGTAGTCACAATAAATTCGACAAAATTGTGCACTTACTCTCCATTACCATCATGTACCTTTACTAAAATCTTTCTGTTGATATTAACTCGTCGTAACTCTACCGGATATCAGAAATAACCAAAGGATTCAGCAAACTTAAAAAATCAAATTAGGTTATTAATTGCAGAAGGCCGGAGGTTTACTGTGGTTTCCTGCTAGCATGTGCTTTATTGAATAGATTATTTAATGGATTAGATACCACTCAGTGAAAAAATTTGTATACCGAATGGATTTTATTTGTTACCAAATTTTTAGCCCACATGCTGTATACTCAATGATATTCTGATATAACTGAGAGAAAAACACATGAGTAAAATTCAAAATGCATTTAAATTGCTATGGAAAACAATCAAACCATCCTTTTTCAGTGCTAAGGTAGTGGAACCCTGTGTGTTCCTAGGTTTCTTGATTTCTCGGTAAGACAAGTATCGCTATTACTGAACGTGTGGCAGTCCTTTGTGTTCTTTCCAAAATATAAGAGTTATTTTTTAGACACTTCTGTCATATATACTACTTTCTGAAGTGAAACACTTTGGAACTGCGCAAACTGTAACTAACGAATTCCTCTCTAACCTAAGGAAAGTTTTTCCCAAGGCCAACATTATTTTGAAATATGTAGCTGCATTTTTCTGAGGAAAGAGGATCCACCTCTTATTTCATATTGTTGTATGATTATCACAAAGCGTGATCATGATCAGGTGAAAGGTGGTAGACGTTGTTCAATCTTTCGAAATCGTTCGATTGAAAAAAATTCAAACCACTGACTAGAGATGCTTTCAAAAGTCTCCCGAGGTTATAAAATTTGCAGTCTGCCTGGCTACCTATTCATCAACTATCAATAAATTTCTTGTCATCCTAGAAGCAAAGTTTCAGCAAGGTTCATCCTTTTTTATCATCAACGCTCGTCATGAATGTCTAAAACTATTGGATCTTTTCAGCTTAGAATGAACAAGCGAAACAATGGTGAAACTATAGAAAGCTAAAACATCATGAACCGTAATATCGTCAATCCTAACACATAAATCATGGTAAATACTGGGAATTTATAAGTAAAACGTGGTAGGTTGAACCAAAGGAACAAGTTTCACTGTTTACGAGTAGTCGAATCTTGGAGTACCGTTCCGGCTCACACTAATTTACTAACACCAGCGAATTCATGATTCCAAGTGTATACCTTATAATAACTGTGAACCACAAATACCAGACAAAGCGGTTCATTTAGGAAAAGTTTGTTTTGCTTCATCCAAAACCATTTAAGCCGTTTGAACCATTGTCTCCAGGTCATAACGTAACAATACCCCTGAATCAGTCAAAAAAGTTATGATGTGTTTATGAAATAAAAAACGAATAACATTGTGATGGGCTTTCTCTTTACAGGTTGTTACTTCATGAGTGCTAATTCATCCTAAACAAGAACTGGTATGTTTGTTTTTATCAACTATTTCAAGTGTTAGTAGTACTCTAATTACCATCGGTGGTAAGTTGGAAATGTCGTCGTCAGATCCGTATGAGTGTCTAACAAATGAGAGTAAAATTATCGAAAAGCACACTGAACAAAGGCTGCAAAATGATCACCGAATGGATAATCTTATTCTTTTAGTATATGTAGTGCTTCTAACTCTTTCTGTCATAACAATCTGGGCTTTTAAACATAGACGCTTTCGATATATCCACGAAACTGGCCTTTCAGTGGTATATGGTAAGTTTCATCATTTAGTTCATAACTTGTAGGACTGGCCGTTGGTCTTATACTTAGATATGCTATAAAATCTTCAAATTATACCGTGGAGATGCATGTGATTTCACGTAAAATGATGAAGCGTGCGGTGGTCGTTTGCCTCCAGAGAGACTGATTATTGAGTTTCCTGTCCGTGACAAGTACGGAAAGTTCAATTTAAGCATGTCGTTCCGGTACAAATTTGAGCAGCAATCGGATTTCAACTCTTTAATTAACAACAAGGTATTATAATTTGTATTATAACTTTCAGGCTACGTTCGACCCGGAATTCTTCTTTAATGTGTTACTTCCTCCTATAATTTTCTCAGCAGGATATAGTATGAAACGCGTATGTCTGATTCCAACGCAGATTCATTTCTAGGGCTACTTTTTCAAAAATATTGGAGCCGTTCTTACTTATGCATTTGGTGGTACTTTGTTTTCCGCTCTAGTTGTTGGGTAAGCTGAGAGCATTATTTTAACTTTCAACAGAACCATTTGCTATGGCTTCACCCGTGGAATTACTTCGTTGTCTCAAACTTTGCGTCTCTCAGACTGCCTTTTGTTTGGAGCTATAATATCTGCTACTGATCCTGGTAAAAATGTATCACTTTGCTATAGTTTTAGTAACTGTTTTGGCTATCTTTAGTGACTTGAAAGTTGATGTCAACTTGTATGCACTCGTATTTGGTGAGAGTGTTCTTAACGATGCTTTAGCAATCGCCTTAGCCCAGTAAGTTACATTCTGCTCGTTTATTTTCATTACCAAATTTCGGTCTTATATTCAGTACGCAGTCATTAGTATCGATAAAAAATAAATTTGATTTTACAGGTCGATCGAGAAATATGGATCCATTTCTGCTGGTAATTTCGATGGCCACGCTTTCTTGTCTTCTGTGTTAAATTTTTTTATAATGTTTGGAGGTTCATTCGTCACTGGCGTTTCTATTGGCTGTGTAACGTCTCTTCTTACAAAATTTACACACATCAAGGAGCATCCTCTACTGGAAACAGCTTTGTTCGTTCTAATGTCTTATAGCACATTTCTTTTTGCTGAAACTGTTGGGTTTACGGGTCAGTCACGTGTATATTATATTTTATTATACTTCGATGAATAGTTATCGTATAGCTAAGTTGGTTATTTTCACTCTTAGTTGACTTAAAGCCGATTATCAGGAAAAAGATCACTGTACTGAAATGAACAAAGTTGATTTTGTTGCGAGACTTATCATAACGCTATATAACTGGATGACCATTTTCGACTAAACGTCACTATTATTGTATGTAAGCTAGATATATTTAATTAACTAAGTTACATCACTGGTACTTATGTGGTGTGCTACTTAAATGGGCAGATGTAAGTAGTGTGTACCAGCAACCGAAAATAGAATCCTTGATGAAAAAAAGGAAAACGGAAAGCGATCAAAATAACAACAATAGTGGGAGTTTGAGTTTGTATGAGATAACTTAAGAAAAATGTATAATTAGTGTGTTTAATGTATTGTTTTAATGTTTTACAAATGCAGTATATGATGTTGCATATTACAAAATACTGGTCTACTACCCAAGACTTCGTTTATTACACTTACACCAAAAGTTATAGGTAAAGACACTAATCTGTTATTGGGTTAGCTTAATTGGAACTCCGTGGAGATCAGGGTTGACACAAAGTTATACAAGTTTCCGGGTTATTTTTTGGCTTGCTAAAATATGGTAAAATCTGAAGTTACTCATATTGCGACAAATATTCTTCTGTCCCGTCTCATTTAATATGAGAGCGATATTTTAATTACAGTTATTTATAATTAGTCCGATTTTAAACCACATCTGAATAATATTTGATACTTGTCCTGTAAGTTATATCGTCCATTTGATGAAGTGGTAGTTTTATGATTTGTATTCTTCGTGATTCCAATAAATGGCAAAACATTATAGTCAAGTCTTAAATATCCTTTTTATAAAGCAAAGTTTTACCTCCATTATTTTGTTTATTTGCTACATTTAAGTCTAGTTATCTCGGTAGATAGCGTAATTGATAAGTTTTTACTACATTAATTAAGTAGTTGTCGTTTCTGACAAGACTAATCCACATTACAGAAGAATTGAATAAAGCTTTGATATCAAAAGTTTTCAATGGGTGCATATTATGATCTAAAGAATTCTAACTATAGTTTATTAATATACTCATTACTTATCCTTACAAGCTTAGTGTTCGCTTGTAATTGACGCTGTAATCAGTGATAAACACCATAAAAAGCCTTCCATTGTATAATGAAATTAAGTAGACTACGTTAAGATAGTTATTTTGAAAATATCAATAAATTAACCAATGACCATCTTGAACAAACTGATTCTCCTGCAAGACCATCTTTAATTATGGTATATTAAAAATCATATAAGTGTAAAATAATGTGTATTCTAGCAAAATTCAAACCAACTAATTTTGTATGCAATCGTATTTTTATCAACCAAATTTAGATATTCTATATTTGCTGATAATACTCATTAAAATATTGTTACTGGTTTGCTTGTTTGCAACTGGTCGTATCGGAAACTTGGTCATTTTCTAAATATACATTTTTTCCAGATATTCTAACGTGCATTACCCATATTGACACCTTCGTACTGTTCTTAATTTGTGGAATTCTTTCTTTTTTGAACAAGTTATTTCACGCATTAAATAACAGCTCTAATTTTACTGTCAAAGCGTTTTGTTTTATGCGCGGTAACTACTTTTAGTAGAAAATGAGGAAATCCATATGATCACTAAATCTCGTTATTTGCATCAACATATAGCTGTGTGTTGTGTACACTAAGTCCTTATTATTTTGACTACACAATATTATATTGAAAATAGGGCTGCATAATTGTTTTGTCAATCCTAATGAGTGTATTTATTATGAAGTCATCAGTAGCCTAAGTTAGTTTTTAGTTTTTATTGGCCCAAACTACCCGTGCCTCACGGTCAATAAAACTGTACATGTTATGAAAAGAACTGACTCAGAGAAGCCTTCATATATTTTCAAATCTCAGATCTTAAAGTACTTCGCTTTTAAGTGAATAGAAGTAGCCCAACAATCTTTATTCTTTCATACAATCATTACTGTTTTTGCCTGCAGAGTGTGTGCCACTATATAATCAAGAACTTATACACCAAATACCAGTTGAAATCTTGTTTGAGGTTTTCCGCCTTTCGCAAAACCATCATTAGGACGTTTAATATACAGTTGTTGTCACTGATTTTCTTAGCTTAATTTTCCTAGTAAGTTCATTGAATCACAGTTTTCCGAACTAACTTTTGGTTAGTTTCTTAATCTCTCGAATATTCGTTTTGACACATTATATGCTATAATTAGTTACCATATTGAATCTTTGCTTTCAATTTATTTTTTAGCCGTACGCTTTTTGACCACTTCAGTTGCAACCTCTGTCGTGTGAATGTGTCAAATTTTTGTAGTCTTTGAAAAATATTTTATTCTTTTTGAGATGTTTATATGTTACTTTTTTAACAAGTAGAACATAGTTGATGTTCAATACAGTCATTAGGTTTGTTTTTTCATATTTCATGACAATTCATCAAAAACCGAATAACAACTAGAAGACTACTACAATAAGATTGTTGGCTTTCTAGATACTGTTTGTTAGATGTAGGATCTACATAGTTTACTTACGTTTTGGAGAAGTAACTACAAACTTAATTTTATTGATTAAATATACCTTTCCTTCGTTAAGATATCTGGTCAACACCTATTTTAGAGTTTAGCGTTTACAAAATGACAAAAATATCACCGTAAAATCAAATTTTCTAAACTCAGTCTTAATCATATGGACTTTAATTAGCTTTCTACTGCGAGATCTCTCACGGATGTACTGGTTGGTTTTTCAGCATTTATATCAATAAGAAATCATCAGCTTATCGAACTTATTATTGGTGTGTAACATAAACTCGTTAGCGTAAACTTTCAAAACTATTTTGCAGTGGTTTATTTGCGTTATTATTTTATTACTGATTGTCAGTTTTATTGGCAAATTTCGTAAATCATTAACAAAATAATTAAGTACTTACTAATTTTGGAACTGAACTTAGACATGGCAGCTAGTGGAGTCATTTGGTGTTGACTGTATTTTCATCTTGAAACCGTGATATGTTAAAATATGAAACCTATAAATTCAAAGCGCAAACATTTTTCACCATATTTGGTGAAATAAGTAATTATCAGAATTTACATGTGTCTTCTCTTATGGAAATATTTTATATCAGCCATCAATATAGCGTCTTTACATGTCTAACGTACACTTGTTTACTTACTTCTATCTCATTTCATACGTCAACCTAAGATTTTATTTATTTTTAGGTATTGTTTCCGTGTTGTTCTGTGGTGTGACTCAAGCACACTACACTTATAACAACCTATCCCAGGAATCTAAAGTATGGACAAAATCTGTAAGCTTCCCTTTTTTTAAATACTTGTACGAATAAATATATGAAATAGTTTCTAAGATCGGGAAATCGTTCATAAGTGGCACCATTCATTTCTGAATTTTGACCAGTCGCACACAGTTGCAATAATCATGGAGTAGCGATGGTTTGGTTGTGCATTACTTCTCGTTTGATTAGCCTTGTACATCATGAAGACACACTATAATAGGAAACATAGAATAACCTTTACTGCTGTTTAAAGTTTTGGACCAAATAACATATCTACGGGCGTCCAGCTGTATAATTTTTTGTACCTCATATAAACCGGGATCGGTCAACAGATGCTAGTACAGTATAGTTATCCACCATCCTATCTTGTCATTTCATAGACTATAATCTTTCAATTACTTCTATCAGTGGTAATGTTATGTCCACACCGCCTATTAATTGTATTTGAAAAATAAGAATCCATTACAATTTCTTCAGCGCTAAGAACACGGAATATTGGTATAAGTGAAGGTTTGTTCATCCCCAAAACAAGACGACCCTAGTTCAAAATACGCTCATTTATATCTCGATTTGCACATCCATTTGCTTAACAATTAGGAAAACAAAGAAGGAACGAATCGAGAGAAAAAAATTTCTTCAATTGGAAAGAAATTTCTTCGCCCGATTCGTCCCTTCTTTATTTACCAAATGCCAAAATGAGAATTATCACTATAAGTAGGAAAATGTCACTCACATGAAATTACAACAGTCTCATGCTGAACATAGTTCATGTTGATTCAATACGAAGAATATCATATCTTGAATAAATATTGCACTGAAATCAGTGTTATACTAAACAAAATATCCCATTGAAAAATAAAATAAATATTAAACTGAGTAATCATCATATTAAATTAAAAGCGGAAGTAAGGTTGAAGAAAAAACTCATAATGAGTCAGAAATGTAATTTTCCCTTTTTAACCCATCATATCAGTTGAATAATGGGCGATATACAAACTTCTGCTTTGTGGTTAGACCAGTCAACTTTCGACTATTTCGATACAGTTTTTACCCAAAAGCTATCCCTTACATATCAGGAGCATGGTATAGATAACAAGCTGTGATGTACTGACGACATCCTTATTCAAATAGATTATTCAAAATGATACCTGTTATCTTGAATTCAGTCTAAATAATTAGATTTTGCGGAACGCTTTATTGGAAGTGAAGTCACTTTCCTGCACCTAAATAAGGTAAAGGGTGGAACATTTCATGATAAGAACTACTTCGATCTTCGAAGTTTTATTTGTTTAATAGTTTATGAAATAAAATGAATTTATTCAAAACTCTCCCCCAAGTAGTTACTTTTTAATAGTTATAATAATATGTAAAAATCAGAGGATTTACTAGTAAAAGTTAGTTTACCGATGACATATCTGTACGTCATGTTTGAAGCCAGCTTCAGGCTTATAATGACATTTTTCTAACTTTCAGTGTAACAATATTTCCAAAAGTTCACTGAATATATTACCTGAAATACCTCGTTATCTAATTTCATCGCGATGTTTAGAAAACAATAGACAAAATTGTATTCAAAAATCGTATCGATCGGTAACTTAAGTAATTCGGCAGCCTGCATTTATGAAGAAAAGGGGAATTCTCACAGAAATTCGTACACGTGACAGTTATGTAAAGGAGTTCTTCTAGAATTATTCGTAAGCCTGTCGTTATTAGAAACCGTCGTTTGAAATAAATCACTTCTGAAGTTTAAGAAACGAACTATCATGTTTCAATATCGAAAAAAACATCTTGTCCTCTTTCTAGACTTTTTATTTAGTAGGTATATCAATATATACTCTGAATCTCTACTGTCTGCCAATTCGTAATGCTACCCGAGCTTGCTTATCGTGAAATCCAGGCCTATGTATGTTTAATGGAACACTTGTTCTTTGAGGTCTATCACGTAAGCAGAATTGTTGGATAGCAATATGAACAAAAACACCAAGTGCGAAGTCCGTGAGTGAAGTCATACTACCATCTTTACTGGAGTATGGCTGCAATAAGACTTTTCTCACGGCGAATCATTATCACTAACTCTCCAAAACGAACGGGAGGTGTAGTGACGTTTGGCTTTAAAAACAGCGCACATTGTCCCACAGATTTCTAGCGTCGACTGTAAGGTTTACAAAGCACCGAGTTTATTTAGAAAGCTACTTACAAGAAGAATACGTAACGAGCATCAAGTATCTATCTCCTGTGCTATATGGTCGTGCTCCTAGATCTGTGAAACCGTCATTACTAATCCGATATCAGTCAGGTTCCTGAGAGCGAAATTTCATCTTACTACGTAAGCAACCAGGAACTGTCAACAGACCATACTCATGTAGCAACGTACAGGACACCACTTTGTGATACAGGAAGTTTATAGACACATTTTATTTGTTCAGTTGAATTATTTAGATCAAGTTATAAAGTATTAACTTAATTTGATGATTATTTATTTTGATTTAGTTTTTTGAACTACTTAACTTCTTGTCGGAAAACTTTGTTTTCGCATATATCGGTGTTTCAACGTTTACTTTCCCTCATCATTATTGGAATGCTCGATTCGTATTTATCGCATTGTTCTCATGTGTAATTGCTCGGGCAGTCAGCGTATATCCACTTACAGCCCTCATCAACTTTTGTCGAACTTATCAGTGTTCCTGTTCTACGAAATGTTTGAAGCGAAAGTTTGATTCCAATTCTCAACTGTCTTACTCTAGTGATAAAAATATTGTGCCTGGATCATCATTTTTGTCGAATTCAATTGATTCAGGTAGTGTCGCAATTACTTCAGCTGATAATAACAGGAGGGATAAATCTAACAAAATCACTTTAAATTTTCAACATATGATCTTTTTCTCAGGCCTTCGGGGTGCCATGGCTTTTTCATTAGCGATTCGCAATACAAGTTCTGAAATACGTCGAATGTTTTTTTCGACGATTATTGTAATAGTTATGACTACGGTGTTATTGGGAGGTTGTTTTGCCATATCGTTACTTCACAGATTGCAGATACCGTAAGTTTTTATGGGTGTGTTAGTGTTATTCAAAAAATAATGTGACATGACTTAATTTCTCCTTTTACCTTCAACCACTTAACTATACTCAGATGTGAACCTTATCAAGTTATCAAACTTACACAGCCCCCAAATGCCCTGGTACGGCCGAGAGTGGGGAGAGTCTGCTCTCCCTCTTGACGTGCTCTCACATGGCCACGCGTACATAGCCTCTGCCAGGGAAGTCCTGCTCACTGCCTTCTCGTGCCAGGGGTGTTGTTTAAGAAATTGAGAGTACGAAAGGCGAATGTCTGGCGCTTTAACCGAGTTGGTGGAAATGGAGAGTCCACCTAGGGTAGTTGGAAAACCCTGATTCCGAACCAATGGTGCACGTGGGCTCCAGTCCCGACCGTTGTTGCTACCTTGACGTGGTGGTCGGGCTTGCCCATCGTGATGAAGCAACCGAGCTATACTGGCTGGAACAACCGTTCCTCAAGGTCCTACCATGTTAGACAGGTCGGTTGAAGAGCGGTAAAACTAAAAGCAACAAACCCAAGGTCCGAAGGCGAAGTCGTACTGCTGACTGTACAGAGGTGTGACAGCAGTAAGGTGTTTCCTTCAGACAACCAGCATGACAGCGATGCTGCCTTCCCACAAGGAGGGGTGGGTTTAGAAAAGGTCGACCCTAAAAATGCACACCTCACCTTACCTCACGGATTCCCGTCTCCGGCGGTAAGGCCCTTTGAAGAACGGAGCTAACACGTCACAAACCTCTCACGAAAAGGCCGTGCGCGACCGGCCTCAAGCAGTTGTCCCTTGGGCACTGCGGTCACGCTCTCAGGTCACTGAGACCACCTCTAATCCAATTTCCTTTTCAGGTACCTCCAGAAGAACCCTTCCACGGTGTGGGCAACCGGGAAGTGATAACCGCCCTCATACCTCTAACAGCACTCAAGACCACTGTATTCATAATCAACCTTCCTCTTCAATTCCTATTATTCCTCCTACATCGACTTTCAACCCTAAACTTCTTCCTTCGGCTTCCTCCTCAAGTGTCACCATAGCCAACGATTCTAGTGCTCAAAACCTGTCCCAGGTCTACTGAAACCTCGCTCCAAACTACACATTGGAGCCTTCAACGTACGCACCCTATGTCAAATCGGTCAGCAGGCTTCCTTGGCTAAAACCCTAGAGTCTCTTTCCATTGATGTATGCTGTGTCTCCGAAACACGCATACAGGATCCAGTGTGGTCATTCACTTGACCAAAACGGAGAGCCAACGAGATACACCCTCGTGTATCTGGTGACCCGATGGCCAGTTCTCGTGGACTGGCAGGTGTAGGCATAGCACTAAGCATGAGGGCGGAACAAGCACTGCTAGAGTGGATCCCCGTCAACAGTCGTCTATGTGCTGTTCGGCTAAACGGCTCCGTAAGAACTCGGAAGGATAGGGACACACGTCGTTGCCTTTTTGTCGTTTCTGCCTACGCTCCCACTGACTGCAGCTCAGATGAAGTGAAAGATGAATTTTACAGAAAGCTGTCCGAACTTCTTCAGAAAGCTAAACGCTCAGACATAGTACTCGTAGGGGGACTTTAATGCTCAGATAGGTAGTTTAAACCAAACAGAAAGGCATTTAGGTGGATATTTTAGTATTCCGGCACAGCGAACAGATAATGGTGATCGTCTGCTGCAACTGTGCTCAGACAATCGTTTATTTTTAGCAAACACAAATTTTAAGCATAAGGAGAGACATCGTCTAACATGGCGACCCCCTACACCAAACCAACGATGGACTCAAATAGACCATATTGCCATCAGTCATCGTTGGAGAGGGTCGGTAGAAGATTGTCGCTCATTCTGGAGTACCTGCTTGGACTCCGACCATGCCCTAATACGGGCACGCATCTGCTTGCGCCTCACTGGACGCAAAAAAGCCACATTAAAAAGACCCATTAGAACTGAGTTGAGTAACGAGAAAACCAAAAGTAGGTTCCAGGAACAACTGAGGTCACACTTAGGTAGTTCTGAAGACGAGGCTGACCCAGATGTTGCTTGGAAAGACATACAAGCAGCTGTGGAAACAGCAGTGACATCTATTAGCGACTTAAACCACAGAGTTACAAAGAACCAGTGGATTTCTTCAAAGTCTATCACACTGATGGATTCTCGCAAACTCGTCCCATCAGGTTCCGAACATGATGAAGAGCGACAACAAATCAGATCTAGGTTAAGAAAAAGTCTAAGGAACGACCGTGAGCAGTGGTGGGCAACGAAAGCAAAAGAGATGGAAAAGGCGGCGACTATAGGGAACACAAGACAGCTTTACAGACTAATAAAAGAAACTGGAATTAATAAGTCAAGTGTAAGTGAGATTATTTCGGAAAAAGACGATACTCTCATCTGCTCCCAGTCCAGACGTTTAGAACGATGGGCGGAACATTTTAGAGAACAGTTCAGCTGGCCTTCAGCTACTCTACAACTACCCTCCATTCCCAGACAGTGTGAATGGAACATTGAAGTAGGTCCCCCAACTCTTGCTGAAGTTCAAAAGGCTATAGTTAATCTGAAACGAGGAAGGGCAGATGGATTGGCTCCAGAGGTCTTTAAGGATGGTGGTCCAATTTTAGCGATTAGGTTGACTAATATTTTAGCTAAGATCTGGGAGTTAGACGTTATCCCATCTGACTGGTCACAATCACTTATCGTCCCAATATATAAGAAAGGGTCAAAATCATCCTGTGACAACCACAGAGGGATTAGTTTAACTAATATAATATCTAAAATACTAGCCTCGATAATTATCAGACGCCTAACTAAGACTCGTGAACTGCAAACACGAGAGAACCAAGCTGGCTTTAGACCTGGTCGTGGCTGCATCGACCACATATTCACCATTCGTCAGGTTCTAGAACACAGGCATACTTATCGGCGTCCGACAATGGTGGTCTTTCTTGACTTAAAAGCAGCATTTGACTCGGTAGACCGCGAGATTCTGTGGCAGTGTCTGTCATTGAAAGGCGTACCTCAGAAGTACATAAACCTTGTGAAGGCTCTTTACTCGAACACTACTAGTCGAGTCAGAGCTTATGGCGAACTGTCATCTACTTTGCAACCTCAAGTGGTGTCCGTCAAGGCTGTCCACTTTCCCATTTTTGTTTAACTTCATCATAGATCTACTGATGGAAATAACTTTCTCGTCGACTGAATTCTCGGGTATTGATCTCCTTCCAGGAGGTCCACTTATCGACTTAGAATACGCAGATGACATAGTCCTGTTTGGTGAAGACGCTGACAAAATGCAGAGTCTTCTGGTAGCACTAAGCAACAATGCCAGAATGTTTGGAATGCGCTTCTCTCCCTCTAAATGCAAGTTGTTGCTTCAGGACTGGTCTGCGTCAACACCTGAACTAAGGATAGGGAGTGAAGTAGTCGAACGCGTTGACAACTTCACTTATCTTGGAAGTCTGATCAGCCCTAATGGGTTGGTGTCTGACGAAATCTCAGCACGGATTCGAAAAGCTCGTTTGGCTTTTGCCAACTTACGTCACCTTTGGCGAGGCGAGATATCCGTCTATCAATAAAAGGACGAGTATACTGCGCGGCAGTCCGTTCTGTTTTAATTTACGGCAGCGAAACATGGCCATTAAGAGTAGAAGACACTCGTAAGCTACTAGTATTTGACCACAGATGCCTTAGAAATATTGCTGGCGTCTGCTGGGATCACCGGGTAAGTAATAGTGAGGTTAGACGCAGGGTATTAGGGAATGATGGTAAATCAGTTGATGAGGTTATGAATCTTCATCGACTGAGATGGTTGGGCCACGTGTTACGTATGCCTGAACACCGATTACCACGACGTGCAATGCTATCCGGTATTGGAGATGGTTGGAAGAAAGTTAGGGGCGGCCAAACCAAAACGTGGCATCAGTGCTTGAAGTCACTAACTTCTAGTCTGAGCCATGTTGGTAGATGCAGACTACTTGGTTGGGGTCCGCGTGACTATCGTAACCAATGGTTGGAGACTCTTGGTGACATGGCTCAGAATCGATCACAATGGCGTCGGTGTATACACTCCCTGTCTTCCCTTAAACTAAGAGATTAAAATCGCTTCATATCTTTCTTTCTACGAACCAATTCTTTCTTGTATTACATCTCTATATGCAATCTTTCTCTTATATATTACCACCTTTGACATAACCACTGCTATGAATCCGGTGTTCATCTTGTTGTGCTGATGCGGTATGGCAACCTGGACCGATGCACATATGTGCCTGGTCCTACGTTGTAGCTGACTGACTGACTGTGGGCTCCAGTATTCTGAAGGGACAAACGGCGTATGAACCAATCGTTGGTCACCGGCTACCATGGGACTGCATCTCCTTGCGATGCTCCACTGCCTTGTGGATTAGACCTTCAGGTCGAAGGCTCCAGGTGTTGCCCCCTAAGAAAACCACCTGCTTCGGTCTGGGCACCCGGGCAATATCCCAGCCATCACACAAATCGAATGATTTATGTGGCGCATATGTATTTGGTGCCTCCTTGTACCAAAATGTGTGTTAAAATTAATCAATTAATTAAAAAAACTTACAGTAGATTACAGTACTGCATAACACTACTCTGAATTCAGGTATAGGGTATCTAAATTTAACGCACAAAATTGCTCTTTGAAGTCAATTAAAACATTGGTATATCTGTTATGCACGTTATTATGAGTTTTTGATGTTGCAAATGTAATCCGGACCTGTTACCTGTTTATTCAAAAACATAAAGCTATCATCCTCATCGTGAAAGCTAGACGTACTTTTCGACTTCCGTCGCTGGTTACTGCCAGACATAAACGCACGATATATCCGTTCTCACAGTTGCCTTAGCAATTTTACGTATCGTGATCGTATGGTGTTAGCTTAATTTTTCTTGTCATTTGTCTGGCCAAGAGTCGCCTCATGTATATAGTTACAAAGATTTCATAACGAATGACACACATCCACAAATTTTCCTAAGGAATCAGGATACTGAAATTGTCGATTATGGTATCCAGCTACTGATTTTCTTGTTGAGCTACAGAACTGTGACTGACCGACTCAGGTTTAGTCGTGGCCATATTATAGTTCGAAATCATGGATGTAAAATGTGTATAATTGAATTATCAAATTAATTGGATTCTTTTGGGATTTTCTTGTTTAGATGCTGGATTCAAACTATCTAATTGAAAATAACATTGTTCGCTCACATATGTTGTTCTAGTTTACAGTATAGGAATTTTTTGTACCTTCATGTCATCAATCGTTTTTTTCCGCATTTCAATTTATTTAATTGGCAATTCGTTCTTGTAAATGTATTAATAATTTCTGTTTTATGGATTGATGTAAAATGCTTATTAAGCTGTTCCCTTCGTTTATATTTAGTGTTGGTGTAGATTGCAACAGTAAAAACCAAGTAAGTCATGAAGTGAATCTCTTGCCATTGTTTTTTGATTCCCATAACTTTATGCTTATATATATGAGTTTGGATCAGATTAGAATTTATACTGAAAACAAGTTAGAAATAGTGATGATCTTTTTAGTAAGATAAATAAAAAGTTTGTAAAAATCATGATTAACTGACTACCAATAGCTACACAATAATGTTGAGGTTGTACCCGATTTATCAGAAATAAACTTAATCAATGTTTTGACCAGTCGGTCAGCACGTAATTTTCAACCCTTCTTAGTTATTTATGTTAAACATTCTGGTGAAAACAGATATTTTATTTATCACAAAGAAATGGATTTTATGGTTAATTATATAATATAAGGGAGATAAGTAGGTACCAATTAATTGAATCTTATTACATTTGATTAAGCAAAACTTTCCTTCCAATCTTTCTGATAATTCATTATCATTAACGCTTGGTAGCTCGTTATTAGGACATGTGTGAAATTAATCCAAATTTCTCGAAATATAGCTAGGATCTTCTTGTTTGAGTTTATTTAAATTGTGACATTTACTGAGAGATAATTATATGAACAAATTCTAGGGTGTTATGACATCAAATTTGTTAACTGGTAATAATAGCATCGTAGGCACTGATTCAAATTTTTCCGTGAGCGTTAAAAGACTTATTCGAAATAGTGTTAATTAGCTAGTTTCAAACCATATTCTGTAATATTCTTTTCAATATACAGGTTACGTCATTGGTTAAGTTAGAAAATAACTTTGCATACTACTTAGTCATCCATTTTTAAGAAAAAAACATGTGGCTTGTCATATTAATTTATTAATCTTCATAACTACACTTACTTTGGAAGCTAGAATCCAAGTAACTAAATAATTATGCTTCAGAGGTTAATTTTAAGTAATCCACAATAATGTATTTTTTAGCTTAAACATATGAGAAGTGTTCTAATCTCCTAGCTTGTCTGACTTTTCCTAACGTGGTGTATTATTATCGTCTTTATTTTAATGTCAAATCAAAACCGTGATGATTTTTCTTTCTAGCCGCATACAGATACGGAAGAAGATTTGGTTGATGATCATAGTTGCTGTAGTTCTCATTGGATGAGTTTCGATAAATTGTAAGTGATCGTTTACATGAATTTGCATGCCTTTCATATCACAGGACTATTGTATTGATTAACACTATTTTTGTCAGAGCCCATAATAAAATTTATTTTATTCATTCCTAATCTAAATTAACTGAATATGATAGTTTCCCCGTCAGTTGAGTTTACCTAGATCTGACTTGGTTAATTCCCTTGGTTTCTTTGAATGTTTTTTTAGGTGTTTCATTCACAAAGATTGACTTTACGTTTTGGTTTTGATATCAATATAGTTGTGCGTTGTGATTTGTCAGCTTCTCCAACTAAATAGGTCATGTCGTTTGCTGGATTCATTGTCTAAATCACATTATTTCAACACCTTGTTACAGGTAGTTTCTGTATCAATCGAGTCCTTTTTCGTACCTTCAGAATTAAATGACTGATCAGCTTGGTTAAAATATTCTCCTGAAATACTACCTAATAATTATCATCTGTCACTTTAAATATTCCCTAAATAAAATAAGCTTATTTTATAAACAGTTTTGGACTCAGAAGTTTCCGGTAAAAGCACCAAATGAATTACGAAGAATACTTTCCTATCACTTCATGATAATTGCATCTACACGTCTTAGATATATTTAGACTTGTATTTATTGTAACATTGCGGGTAATATAACTAGTTCGGGAGTAGTATGTTTTATCCTTCATCTCCTGTCAGTGTGTTATTTTTTAAAGTATTTGGTTAAGGGAAAGTGAAATAGCTGTTTTGTATTTTGTCATGTTTAAGATCATCAAAAAGAAACTATCCAATTAGTAAAAAGTTACCATAGGGGGTTTATAGAAGTCATTAAATCCAAACATACTTTATGTCACAGATTGACTTCATTTTAACAACCATTACCGATCAGGGAAAATTGGTCATTCCATTTTAGGACTTTTTAGGAGCCTGCAATCCCAACCCTGCTGGTAATCGTATTTGAGATCAAAGAATTTTTGGTGTGCAATTTGCATATTAACCACTCATTTGGTGTACAATGCCCTGTGATATAACCTGTCTTAATTTACTAGAAAATACCAGTAGAATTACGTTTACAGCAGGTTAGAGCGTTGCGCCTACTAGATATTAGACTGTTGTGTTATAATGTAATTCAACGTCTCGCGCTTCACTTTATGTTGACCAATATTGAAGCTAAATTTTAAGTGATTTTAGTTTGTTACTCTTTTTGCAGCTATTTGAAGCCATTACTTACACACAGCACTCCACCACTGACCGAATCATTACCATCATGTTGTTATAAATTTGCCAAATTACTTACAACTTCTGAACAAAAAAGTGGGACATTTGTCAATAACGATAGAAATAATAGTTACCCTGACAATTTTAAACGTGACAGTACTACTGTATTTTATTCCAATGAGAAGGCATCAATCAGTTCTACACTCAGCATGAATACTGTTAAAGTACAACCTGTGGAAGTAAGCGCGTTTATTTGTGATTTGATTTTGTAATAAATTGCATTTTACGAAGTTTATCAGCTGGGTAAAATGACTTGTGTTTGAATAACCTATTTGTTTAGCACTATATATATATATATATATATATATATATATATATATATATATATATATATATATATAAATACATAATTTTTACGATTAAAATTGTAGAGGGAATTGATCCGATATCTAGCTTTTCAAATTAAAGTGGTTGATTATGTATGACAAAATTACTTTTATTGAGGTAATCGACTAAATTTACCAAGATTAAAATCATAAGTCTCTGATTTATGAATTTAATACCCGGGTATGTAATAGGCTACCACACCTGTCAATTCATACGACTTAATTTTCAAAGTGTTAAATCAGCTTCTCTTTTTACCTTCATGAAATAAAAAATGGACTGATTGTGGTATGTACTCTGTTTTTTTTATTGTGGTTGGACAAAATAATGTTTAGGGTTTCTCGGTATCTGCTTGAAAAATTTATTTGCACATTACAAAATATCTAATGAGAGGGCTTAGTTTGTTTTCTTCGTTTGCTTAAAACCTATCTGCTATGATTATCACTAGCATCCCGTGAAGCTAATGAACAAAATGTAGATAGTTCGATTAATGATCAGCAGTAAGCTTAAATATTAAAAGTTTATTTTTCTGAAGTGTTTGAGTTTGTTACAAATGCATAAATGTTTTACATAGTTTCACTGTCTACAACGTTATCAACCAGCAAAGGCTTTGTTATCATTAATATTAATATTAATCCAAATGCTTATTTTATCTTCTCACAGTTGACAATAAAGTCAATTCGGTCTCACTTACATACTAGTAGCATAAATGATTTGATCGGACTACATAAGGATAAAAAAGCAGTCAATGTTCATTTCGTTTTTTCTCGTAATATGATACAATTCATATTTTGACTAAAGTTCTGTCGTTTAGCAAAATTTATATTATGTATACATTCCTTTTGTTAAATCTCAGTGTATAAACCATTTTCGTAAACGTCTATGAGCACGTTTGATTATTAAGACAAATGAAAGTGTTGTAGACTTTCTCATAGTAATTTCCTCATTTCAATGAGTAATAAATTGGCATTTCATTTTCGCATATATATATATATATATATATATATATATATATATATATATATATATATATATATATATTAATGACAATGATGATGGTGATTATAATCATTATTTATATAAATCCTATTATCTTAACTATGTCATTGTTGGTATTGTTGTTTCTTCTCCCTTTTTCACATTAATATTCATACTGAAAGTGTGCACAACTTATTCAACTAGACAGTGATAATGATGACACTAATATTAGTAATGATAGTAACAATAAGTTTAAGGTTAGTTCTGCTCCCTTAAAATTAAAGCACCGTGATACGAACTGCGCTCTTATCGCTTTTTGATTTACTACTCCTTCCCTAATTCCATATTAGCATATGTTGCGGTGATCTGCTAGGCTAAACCAGCATGCCAGTGTGTTCACTTGTAAATTAATCTGCATAGTAAATAAGTTTTTTCATCTGTGAATTAACACTACTAAGTTGTGTTTTTATGAGTACAGTAATAATGGTGAAAAACTATATTATTACTATTATTTGTTCTTCAATTTTCTACTAGGATAAAAAGATTTTATTTTCTAAACTCAGTTCTCATTTATTTTTTACTTGCTTCTATCCGATGCTGCTAACTTTGTGTACTTGCCATACAATGACTACCTTTCTGGTTTCTGTCTTACAATTGTTGTATTTCCTCCGACTATTTTTGTTTGTATTGTGATTTGCTTTCATATAGCAACCATTATGCAAATACAGAATTGTGATTTTTAATGAACCTAAAATTATTATTTAGATATTAAAACAACAATAAGATATTATGTGCATAAAAGTGCATATGTAAACATGAGCTACATTTGTTAATCTTTTTCTATTTACTCAATTTTGTCAAAATATTGATTGATAGTATAACGCTGTTGATTCTTCTAAAAAATGCATGGTCGTCCATCTTGTTTTCTTGTCTATATCCGTGCAAAATGTTGGAGAAGAAAAATCGTATTTTCCGCGATACATAGAATTTCTTAGATGATTGCTAGTTGCTTATTATCTAGTTTATACGATATCTATTCAGCTAGGAAAGTACGATCAATGTTAGTGTTGTTGTTTATCTACCTATGTTACTTGTGTTTGTATGTTTAGAAATTATTTGCATCATAACATAGGAATCATCTTGGATTATTCCAATTTTCATTAGAATTAATAATCAACTAGTAATTTGCTGATTGGAAAAAGTCACTAATCGTTAATCTAACCTGTTTGAGGTCTTTGTAGTGAAAAGGTTTATTAGCTAGAAACCCTGATTTACACCAAAGAAAATTGATCTCGATTGTAATATTTAGATTAACTTGTCATTTATTTTGTTTTTCTCGTTATTATACTTCTAATCATCCGTTTTTCTTGCTTTGGCAAATGTTTTTCACTGTTCTTTTTCCATTTTGTGTTTTTCCTAGACAACTATGGTATTTAGAAAAATTGAAAGTTGAAGTACTACCATTTTGAACTTCATTCTTTTTTTAATTGTCTTTTCCATCTTACCTTCATTAATACAGAATATTCAATCGTTTGTAATTTTTGTACTATTTGGAATACATTAGATAGTTTGGTAAATCTTAAAATATATTTATTTATTAAGTAACTGACTATTAATCATAAGATTTAGTTTAAATATGAATATTTTATGGTTATGCTGTCTGATCAGTTAGTTCACTTATCCTACCAAATGAATTATTATTATTATTATTATTATTATTATTATTATTATTCATACTAATATAGGTTACTCTAATATGAACAAATGTAAAATAAAATATGTTTCTTGTCATAAGCAGTTATTAAACAGAACCATCCTATATGCATTCTGAAAAGAGTGATGTTTTGTGTACATCGGCTTAAAGAGATATTTTCATGCATGTATATTCAGTGAAAAATTTTAGTATTGTCACAAAAAGAGCATCAGATAATTGACTTGATTCTGTTAGTTTTTGAGCCTTAGTTTTTGTGATAGTACTGTCTGCTGGTTAACTGAATATATCTTTGAAACAAAACTTCATAAATTTTATTTTTATGTTACCCATTTATCAAATTGCGTTATTTATGGCGTAGATGATATATTCGTTGGCCAACCAAAGGAGATAAGCTTACTGTGTGCAGTTCTTTCTGTCATATTTTTTGGCATGATTTACGGCTATTGACAGTAGAGGGTATTCGTAGGTTAATAGTATTTGATCATATCTGCCTTCAAGGTGTTGCTCGCTTATTCTGAGACCATCGAAATGGCTGTTCTGAGATTGTATGCGGAGTACTAGGTAAGCATGAGAAATCAATCGGCGAGGTAATCAATCTCTATCGACTGGGATTATTAGGACATATATTACGTATACTCATCCACCAGCTATCTCGACCGGCGATGAATGCTGGTGTACGAATAGGTTAGGAGAAAGTAAGGGTCGGCCAGACCAAGACATGGCATCAGTTTATGAAGAGACTGACTTGTGGACTAAAGCATCTACACAAGTGTAGGTTACCTGGTTGGGGTCTGCGTGATTATCGTAACCAATGGTTAGAGACTTTAGGTGAGATGGCTCAAAATCATTTGCAATGGTACAGGTACATTCACTCTTTCTATTACTGTGGGCATCAGGTTTCTTAATTATCTTGCAATCGTGCTACCACCTCTATTACTGTTCGATTTACCCTGAGAATTTAATTTCGTTATGCTAATGGCATATGGCAGCTTGGACTTGTGTGTTAAGTTCGACATTTTGTATGACTGACTGGCTCACATTTACTAAAAGTAAGTTTATGTATTCGGCTTCGTACCAAGTTATTTGTATAAGGACCAGTAATACTACCAGACTGCTGAATACGGATTGTGTAGTGGCTGATTTGGACTCATGACCTACCGATTGGAAGCCTAATGACTTAACCATCAAGGCACCGTCCCAAATACTTGCGAACTGATATTTAGATAATACCCATGTGTAATATGAACCAATTGTATACCTGCTGTAGAATTTTTAACCACGTCCCAGTTTGAAGCATGCGAAACAGCAGAAAATGCAAGTGAAAAGTGTCATTTTCCATTAATGTAAGATTTCAGATCTGTTTATGCTGATAGCAATGACGTAATAGCTAAATAAGTTAGAATTTCAATCCTCAGGTCTCATAATAGTACCTTATTTGTCTTTGGAAAGTCTTAATGTCGACGTTTGTTGTCTATCCGAGACCCGTATTCAAGACTAGTGAAGTACTACAAATTCACTTTCCATCTGTCGCTTCAAAAAGCTTGTTTTACGTGCGTTTATCCGGGGACCCTGTGGTATCTTCGTCTGGTCTTGCTGGCGTTGGTGTCGCACTAAGTGCTAGAGATGAGGCAGCACTAATCGATCGGATCCCCATTTACAGTCGCTTATGTGCTATTAGATTAGAAAGTTCCATCAAAGTGAGAAGGAGCCGGTGTGAGTAAGGATTTCTTCTCGTCATCTCCGCCTATGCCTTGACATATTGCAGCCCGAATGCAATCAAGGAGCAAGAAATCTGGTATGAGCGAAACAATCTGTGAGGATGACGTGATGCCAACCACCAACATCTATCGATAACTTGGACGATGGGCAGAATTTTTTTAAGGAATGTTCAACTGGTCTGCTGCCCCAGCAACATCGATCAGACTGTCCTGCCCTCAATGGCCTGTGACGGCTGATCTACCAAATGAGGCGGAAGTCCGCAAGAAACTCCAACTACTGAAACGCTACAAGTCACCGCGCTCAGATGACTTACCTCCGTCTCTTTTTAAAGATGGTGGAGGCCTTCCGGTTAAGGAAATGACTACGTTTTTACAAAGGTTTGAGAGATAGAGAGTGTTCCGACATCATGGAATGAGTCGATAGTTGTCCCTATCTTTAGAAAGGGTTCACGTCGTTCCTGTAACGACTATTGAGGGATAAGTTTACTTCCGATTGCGTCCAAACTATTGGCTTCCGTTATTCTTCATAGGTTGGTCAAAACCCGAGAAAGATTGACTCGCGAGGAGCAGGCTGCTTTTCGTTTTGGTCGAGGATGTATTGATCATATCTTCATCCTCTACCAAATGTTAGAACACCGTCATATTTATCATAGGCCAACAATCGTAGTGTTTCTTGACAACAGGTCAGGAATGCCTTCGATTCGTTGGACAGGACTGTTCTCTGGGATTGTCTATTGAAGAAGGGTGTGCCTGAAAAGTTTATTAACATCTTAAAAGCTCTATATACATGCACCTCAAGCAGAGTGAGAGCATACAACCACCCCTCTCCATTGTTCCATTTAAAAATTCCTCTGCTGGAAAGAGCACCGATATATATAAGTATTAGCGGTGTGGATCTGTTGCCTGGAGAAAGACTGCTTGTGAAACCTGACCTCTCCGAGTTGGGGATATAAGATGACTCTCTGTGCTTGACCATCGTTGTCTCCGAAAGATTGCTGACATCCAGTGGCAACACCATGTTAGTAATGCAGAGGTTCGGCATCGTGTGTTCGGGCACAGAGACGATAATTCGACTGATGTCACCATCTTGAAACATCAACTTCGGTGGCTTGGACATGTTTTACAAATGTCGTCCCAGAGAATTCCACGTCGTGCATTATTTGCCGACGCTGAGACTGGTTGGAAAAGCGGAGGTGGTCAGTGTATGACATGGTGTCGTGGTATGAAAGAAAGCTGCAAAGTACTGGCTTCTGTTGGTCCTTCACGACTTACTAGTTGGGGTCCGAGAGGATGGTGTAACACGTTGAGTAGAGATGTTATCAGATATGGCTCAGAATAGAAGCCAGTTGCGATCCTCCTGTAACCTTCTTTTACTTTCTTCATAAAAAGTGGTTGTATCTTCCTTAACTGAAGGATTTCTTCTGGTTGTACCTTTCCGTTTCCCCCATTATTATTATTATTATTATTATTATTATTATTATTATAACTATTACTATCAGAACACTACCTTACACTTATCTGTTCGTTATTGTTCCTTTTTATATGCTCCTTACCTTTTTTCTTTTCGGATTCTCATTGTTTTGTGTGGCGCATATATATTTGGTGCCCCCTTGTGCCAATATTTATGTGTTCAAATAAATAATACCGTAATTTACCTACTTCTGATCGGACGTTCAGATTATATCACTGTTTCTCACATATAGAACAGGTATACAGAGGCCGAACGAACGGACTTTAACATGACAGCCGAGTTACATTAACAAAATACTCACAGATCTTTTTTCAGTTTCTGACAAAACTTACTTAATTGTATTTTATGTGGTACAATAAATAGTGAATACTAATTTACTTGATCTCAGGTGCTTACTTTATCCTCATACAATAATAATTTCGTAAATTTACCTCTAGTTTTTAGCTGTTGGTTGTTTTTTTTCTCAGTTTTCAAATTTCTCCTCCTTAAAATTAGCAGATCAACAATTAACGCTCCGTTTTATTTTGTCTAATGTTATAACGTTTGGATTTACACGTTTAGACATATGGGACGCCAATTTATCTTAGACGAATATCTACACTAGATTCCCTCCCAGTGTCTATTCTACAGAACGTTAACACAACTCAGATCAAGAACACGTGATTAGCTTGACCACAACGTAAATATATTTCCGCACCGAAACCCCGACACAATCCAACAACAATGAACAATCAATAATAAGTGAGTAATAATAATAATAATAATGAGGATAGGGGAATATCTAACACATCTGACACCTGTCATATTATCTACATGTTTGACCAAGCAGACAACCAATCATTATCATTCCCACACATCAGAAACACAATTGAACTGGATATTGACCTTTAGATGAAACCTAGGTATTTGTCCAATTCTCTCTCAACTCCATTTTTCCGTGAATATCATTTGACGATAAACATAAATAAATCGTTGCAATCATTGCAAATATCATTACCAAGGTTTGAATTGATAATTTCAAATAAATTGAGCATTGGGTGGATTGTTATACATAAAAATAATATACCTGTATTATCACAATGAGTAAAAAAATAGATTTTCTGACGTTTCGTGACTCAGTGTAAGCCACTTTTTCTACTCATTGAAATATTACAAATATTTTATTTTTATTTATAATCATAGTAAATTTTCTTTATTTTGTTACTTTTCACTGATATATATGTTGCCAGAATCAACTGTACAACTCATTTATCACTACCAGCATGCTTGAATTGATTCACGTGTAACCATATTCTAACTTTTAGTAATGGTTAATTGATTATCATTGTTGACAATATGTATCTGTTTTTGTTTCCTACTTTGTTTCTTGTTTCTCTAAGATACTAACTATTTTCTGTATGGCTACTGTATAAAAAGTCTATTATAGGGCTTTTATCTTGTGTTGGTTTCGTGTCTTATAACTAATTTATATCAATTACTTATGTGTTATAGGTAAAATTCTTCAGTGTAATAGTTAATTATATCAACCTTTTTTCCTTTAAAAAGACATAATACCTTTGTATGTATCTTTATATGATGATCAAAATAAAATTAGTAAAGACTTATCAAAATTATTTATTCTGAGGTAACTGTTATTAAAACGTACTTCTCAAATCTTAAATCACGCTTCTCTATTTTCGGTTTACTCAACAATTCTGATGAAATACGTCCAAATGTATCTGACTGACTTAAGTCATTTATCGTTTATTAACAGCATCATAGGTTCCACTTTTATTTCTTTTTTTTCTGCTGAAGATAATAGACTAATCTTTATAGGATCTCTTTGAGAGATGGTAATATCTTCAATTCGAGCGTATGATCGTGTACGTGATCACTGAGTTATCCCTCTTTAGGATGAACACTCATTACCTGTACATAACACCATACTTTTTTATTCGGTGTAGTTGTAAAATGTGAATATTATTACACCACATTTCCTTCGTTGTATAGGCTTTTATGTCTTTATAAAGGTGTACATAACTACATTTCTTTACTTATTGCTTTCATTTATTTAACAAATTTAAGTTATATCCTAATAGGTTTTCTACAAATTTGATTGTGCTATATGGTATTGTATGATATGATGCTCTGTAACGATATTTTGTGTATGTTAATTTCTCAGCGATTTATTATCATAATTATGTAATTCCTTGTTTTTATAAAGATGTGTATGTATCAAGGGTGTGTTCGCTTGTAATTTGGTCTGTAAGCGAACCTCTTTAGTTAATCATACAAAACGATTTATTCTTTTTTCAGCTTGGTGATGGAAAGAATTTTCATGATCCACTCTATTTCAATGAAGTTATGTGAATAAATATACGGCGAATTTTGGAAAATAAAAAAAGAAACACTGGTAATTAGCATCATCATCATCATCGTCTCTGAAAAGAAAGCACTTGTCATTAATGCATTTTCTTTCCTTCGTCGTTGGTATTTTTCTCGCTCTCTCTCTCCCTCCCTCATAATCTATTAAATTTGACTGTCCATGACTGAAAATTCCATTTATATGTTTCTATTTACCTTTTATATAAACATGCGCAGACATTACAATAAAGAGCACTGATACACATTTGATGAAGAAAAATACACTGAACAGTAGATGGGGATTATTCATAAATGAATAACCGTTTAGTTTGGTTTGTTTGCATGTGTGTGTTAATTTCAAGCTATCTTATCACTTTTTTTCTTGTTTTTACCTTCCTTGTATACATTCTTCTATTATGCACTATTGTCACATATGCATCCGTTGGTAGAGAAATATTTATTTTCTTTAAAAAAAACACAGTTAACATCTTTACGTCCAATTATTCTGTGATTTATTGATTTCATTCCGTAGATTAGAAATAATTTAATAGTTAAAAAGCGTCATGTGTTACTTTCATTTCATCTTGTTTCTTATTATACTTGTAAATACTGTTATTTGTGTTGTTGCTAAATCTCATTTACTAATAATTAATTACACATTGTAATATTCTTTTGAAATATTATTTTTGTATATTTTGCCAGTCTGTTTATATTCGTTTGTTCACTTGATCAAGTGCATTGAATCATTACTATTGGAAATTTTATTTTATTTAAGTGTTTTCATGAGCTTTGACAAAAAAGATTCTATTTTACTTTTTAACTGAATGTTCACATATACATGCATGTATCATATATATGTGTATCATATACTAAAACTTCACTTGAAATTTTGTGTTTTTACTTCATTTACGTCTAAAAGTAGAGTACAGAAATGTCCGTCATTAATTTAACGAGTTATGTATAAATTCTTGATAATCAACAGAAATTGAACTTTTATTTATACAATGTGAATTAGTTGTTTTAAACAAGAAGAAAACAGTGTGATGATATTCTATTCGATTATCTCTTTAAGTATGGTTCAATATTCACCTGAATCGTGTCATTCATTTAGGTGAGATTCCTTTTTGATTGAAGGCTTGGGATTTCAACTATTGAAAAACAGCTTGGACTTCTTTTCCATTGCAATCCTGACAATCAGATAGTATTTTTAGCGTTCATACAAAAAATGCGCAGCCCTAGGTTTGCTTAATAAGTGACTACATCAGTCGATTAGATGAAAATCAGTTTTGTTATTGAAGCTTATATAATAATATTTGTATTTCCTTTCCGAAATATATATTCCAAATGTTCGCTGTAAATATTTTTATACTCTAGTGATTTAACCACTGACAAGTGGCCAAAATGGAATAAATGTTTACAGTTCATAACACTGACATACTTGATTCGACTAAAACGTTTTATACTTATAAACTGTGTACTAAACAACATCCACTGCATAAAGTAGTGATATTAGATGTTAGAAAAGTCAGCTCTTGTTAGAACTTTATCATTTGTGTAAAAGCTTAGCTATTGAATTCTCTAAAAGCTGCACACTCACTGGAAGGCAAACAGTCAAATACTCGAGATAGTTTAATAGAAATATAGATGTTGCTACTGTTTATGGATTTAAAGCTATCGTGTTACATACAGTTGTATTTCTGTTTATACTATATTCGTGCTGGAATAATCTACGATTGTCACAGTTATTCGCTAGAATTTTTCTGATTCATAAAATTTAGTTCCTACCATTCACAGTGTACCTGGATAATGACTTAATTTATTACGTATGATATAGTAAATCCAGTACTTTAAAGGTGGATCACGACCCTAGTGATCTGTTGTTAAAGAAAATAAGTTTAAATCGACCAATTTTAGGGTCAATACACTACAAGTTATAGTATACTCGATTTCAATCTATGGATTAAATGACTTGTTAGTTGTCAACTGATATATGTGACGCTAAAAATGACACATAATCATAACACACTAAAAAATGGATCTTTGAAGAGTTTCTGGCATTATTCTAATAGCTGGCACTTAATGTCACACGATAAGTATTCATATATATATTACCTTCAGGTTTAAAAATGTTGTTTGAGTGATACTTGTTGTTATGCAAATGATATTTAAAACAGCAAAATGGAAAATATGTGTTTATTATCTTATCACAATAAAATTACAGTTGATTCAGTTTTCTGACCATCACATATAATAATAACAAACACTGAAATTAATTACGGAATGTTGCCGTTCACATTGATGATAGCAACTAGATCTTTCTGTCATCTAACACCATTTCTCCTCACCATCAACTGGCTCAACAAAACACAAATATTTGAGAGTTATCTACCACTGTTTCAATCTCTCGTGGTGGTAATTAAATTCTAATGAAATGGGCTAAATATTTATCAATGTCAATTTTCATTGTACATGCATTTTTTTTGTTAATATCAATAAATGTTTTTTTACTTCTGTTCTAGGTGTACTTTTTTCAGTATTCTTGACACGTATATCTATGTAGATCCATGCGAACTTCTACAGATGACACTTCACAGTTTCATTTGACTGTTTTAACAGTTTATACACGCATTATTATTATTAATATTTTCTGTCATATCTCGTCCTCATATTTTCGTCACAATAACATCTTTGTCGTTCGATTAGTGGTATGGACTTACTAACATGATTTTAAGTCACAGATTTTGTTAGGTTAGAATTTCTATTCCAATTTTCTGGTATTATCAAATTCAAATATGTCATTATTTTTAACAACTCAGTCAGTGAATTTTACATAGTATTGCATAGTCTCAATAAAGAAGTAATTAAAGGTGTGATTTTTGCTATAATTGTATTATTTGTCCACCATATCTGGTCACGCCACACTGGACCAGTTCATAGCATGCTCAAATTATACTTCAGTTGTAGACAACTTTAGATTAGTCGTGAATTTTTGGAAGTAAATCTTTAGTGAATAATGTTAATAGAAGCTCTGATGCTATACTTCATTCTGGCAGTTGTACTTTGAACCGTGTATTTAACCCTAAATGAATTAGGTCTTCAGTCTTGAGATGATACATTTTTCGTTTATAGGTAAGTCTATATCACTTGTATTTAATATACAGTTTCTAGGCTTTATTGTGTATAATGATTTTTTCTAAGTGACATGTCTAATCAAACCAAACATTAATTAAGACACTTCTTAAGTATACTTATCTTTCACACAACTTAGTGTATTAATATGATAATAATGATTGGAGAAAGCAATAAACCATACAAGTTTCCTAGACTGATTTGTTTAACACTTCTTTTCCTGTTATGTGCTTGAATGTCGAAATTAGAAAGATGACAGTATGAAAAGCCGTAGCATAAATACCCCTAGAAGTTTATACCTATGATAAAGAAATACTCATCTAGAAAAAAAGTTCCAAACTGTTCAATCTCTATTCAAGTTTAACATCGAGATAATGTGTGTTAATAAGCAAAATTGCTACTGAATCGTTTAAATCAATAAACAGACAATGTATCTAAGGTGATTGAATTAAGATGATTAGGTTTTTTATAAACTATGATCATCTAATTAAATTTTAAAAAATCAGTAATCATTTTGTTGCAAATATTAATTAATCACACGTAATTCTTTCTATCTGTTCGATTGTGTTTTATGTTGTTGATAAAAACTCATTTTAATGTAGATGATCTTTAAACTAAATTATCATAAACTTACCATTATAATTGAACTTTGTAAATGTATTAATTGGGTAATTGAATGAGTTATTCTATAGTATATACCAGCTGAGAAAATCACGGATACCTTATTAAAATTAATCAACAACGTGAAAAAGAGATATTCAGTCTAAATAGCAAGGTCATAAGTGTTTTTATGATATAGCTTAATAAAACAAGTAGAAATAATCTCAAAATAATTAATACACCATACAGTTACAATTTGTAAGAGTTATTTTTCCAAATGAACTGTAGAATGAAAATATTATCTTTGAGTGTTAATCCCATTTGGCACCTGGAAAATGACTACAGATTATAAAAGCTCAATGATCTGAGATTTTTTTCTATTCCTGATATCATATAATTGGTTTCGATAATGCAATAAGAAGACGAAGATTATTAGAACTATGTGATATATTAACGCAATACATTTCGAACAATCCCCCCTTTGTGTGTTCAAAAACAGTTTGTTCTTACCTTAAACCTACCCTGGTAATATTGACTTATTATCCAGACTGATTAAGTTTTGAATTGTGTTCACATTATCATCATTATTCTTATCATTATCCTTATCTTCTCTTACCCCGTTTCCAGTCTAGTTGACCTTTTATTTTTATATATAAATGCTCTTAACAAGTATATGTGTGATCAGATTGTTCGAAATGTATTGCGCTAATATATCACATAGTTCTGATAATCTTCGTCTTCTTATTACATTATCGAAATTTATCAAAGGGACTAATTGTTTTAAATATAATTGGTTATCAAAATCTTATGAAATAATTTCTCAGCATCTATTATCTAAGGGTTTACTTTTTGTTCGAGTGAAAATCCCTATTCAGACATTCAGTAAAATCAAGAAAAGATCAAAGAAATACTTGATTGATTTTGTGAGCTCTTGGGTTGTTGCTACCGTAATTGAGAATTTGATCTGTGTGGGTCGTCATACAATATACCAGATATCCTGTATCGGTTCTAGTGATTAATACATACAAGACTGGTAGTTTGTTGTTTGACTCCTGTTCCATTGTGAACTTCATGTCATCGAAAACATTCCTGATCGACTTGTAGGTGATTTCCAGCTCGTTCTTTTTGACGATGAAAAATGTGTCGTCCACATAACGAATGCAAATTTTTGGCTTGACCACTGGGGCTTCCAGTCTCTGCATCACTGCTTCTGAAATAAGTCCTGATGTTGGTGATCCCATTGGAATTCCTTTCGTTTGTTTGTAGATTTTGTTGTTGAATTGAAAATATGTTGTTAAGCATAAATCGATAAGTTCTAGTTAATTTTGACTTTGAATTTTCATGTACTTTTTGAGATTTCTGTGACTGTGAGAAGCAGGGATACAGTTTCCTTTGCCCCTTCTAACATACAAGAGCAACAATTAGTATAGGTACATGGAACGTCTGGATAATGTGAAGGACTAGGAGAACCAGTCAATTATCTATGGAAAGGAGTAGATGCAACTTGGCAGCTGGAAAGAAAAGATTAGATTCGAGAGAGATACTGCCGTACTATGGTCATGAAGAAGAAAATGCTTTGTATACACAAAGGATTGCACCGATGCTGTCCGAAAAAGCACGTAATGCACTTATAGGATGAGAATCTCACGGAATCAGGATCACCAAATTTTCCTTCAAAACAAAGGAGGAGGGAGTCACAATGAATGTTACCCACGTTATGTACCCACCAATGATCTCAATATAGATCAGTTCTATGAGAGGCTAAAATCAATTACAGCGGAGTGCTCAGGAAACAACCTGATAATTCTGATGAGAGACCTAAACACCAAAGTTGGAACGGACAGCACCGGGTATGAAGATATCATAAAACAACACACACTGACTAGGAGAAAGGAACGAGAATGGTGACAGATTTGCAAATTTATGTGCATTCAACAAAATGGTTACAAGAGGCACAATCTTCCCAACAAACTCATAAATAAAGCTACATGAGTCTCGCCGGATAACAGTACAGAGAGTCAGATCGATCATATTTGCAACACTAAAATATTCAGAAAGTCAATGGAAAACATGAGAACGAAGAGAGAAACTGACATAGCTTCAGACTGCCACCTGGTGGGTGCCAAGATGAAACTGAAGCTAAAGAAATATTGGACAACTGGTCAAACAACACTACAAAGGTTCGATACAGCCTTCTATCGAGATACTGACAAACTCAATGGATTCAAGATCGCTCTCGACAACACATTTCAAGGCCTACAAGATCCATCAAAAGAAGAAAT